ATGTATATATATATATATATATATATATATATATATATATATATATATATTTTAGCTCTATTATCTCTATTATATGCCGGATTAATCTCTAATCATATTTGCGTAATCTGTTTACAAATTCTGGTGCATCGAGTATTATAAATCTCTCAAAGGCCTATATATATATATTTTATATATAAATGCTCTATTATATGCCGGATTAATCTCTAATCATATTTGCGTAATCTGTTTACAAATTCTGGTGCATCGAGTATTATAAATCGGGAGCAAGTCTCAAAGGCGCAATTTATAATCCGTGTTCGTTAGTTCCGTTTCTAGTTGCTTGTTACGCGAATAAATAAATTTATCGCTATGGGAGAATAGTATTACATGCGAAATTACATTTACACCTATTATCACGCATTGATAAATGAAAAGTAATACGCGACCTTGTTCCACAATTATTATCCTACACGTATTACAATGCATCTTAAATTGTGGCTGTGAAGTTGGCACGACGTTTTACGAATTTCAAAAAAAAAACTAAGAGTTCTAATAGCAATTATTAATTGGTGGAAAATCGATCTGAAATTGTATATATGTGCTGAACTTGAACAGAACTATCCGGAACTCTTGCCAAAAATGATGATATTCAACGCGTTTTAGTACTTTAGAGGGGAGGGTGTCGTGCTAGATTCGCAAAGTTAGCACGACATTTTTTCAATTTCGATTTTTTAATATAAGTAATGCAAAACTCTTTTTAATTTTTATCAGGAACTATAGAACTATGAAAAGTGCTATTAGAACTCTTAGTTTTTTTTTGAAATTCGTAAAACGTCGTGCCAACTTCACAGACACTCTTAAATTCTTATGCCGTATAATCCGTTTTTCATATATATCATATGTGTGACGTTATCATTCTACATACCATAAGTGCTGCATTGCGATGTCAAATACCTGCGACAAAATTATTACGCTAGGTATCTAAGTCGGTTTGAAACACGTTACACGTATGCAGGATGCAAAAATTGGTGGAAAATCGAAAAAAAAATGTTATTTATTATAATTAAAAATCGACACTCTCAAAAATTGAAAAAAAAAATTATCTCGAGACCCTGATAACTTTCGCTATAAACAATTGAAAGTGATGGAAGTTTTTGCATTATTCCGTGTGAGGGAAAACTTTGATTTAATGTCGCAAGTTTTACATTTTCGAAACAACAACGCGACGCGCGGATATATTTCGAAATGAAAAACTTAAATCCTTATGCTAATTCCAACCGAAGTTAGATATCAAAATACGGAATCTACGAATAATCTTCGCAGTGCCAAACGCCGCTGTAATAATAATGAGAACGCGGCTTCGCGGTTTCCGTTTTACGCTCGAAAAGCGAGAACGATATTGCACGCGATCAACATAAGAATGAATGCGCGCGAGGAAGAGAGAGAGAGAGAGAGAGAGAGAGAGAGAGAGAGAGAGAGAGAGAGAGAGAGAGAGAGAGAGAGAGAGAGAGAGAGAGAGAGAGAGAGAGAGAGAGAGAGAGAGAGAGAGAGAGAGAGAGAGAGAGAGAGAGAGAGAGAGAGAGAGAGAGAGAGAGAGAGAGAGAGAGAGAGAGAGAGAGAGAGAGAGAGAGAGAGAGAGAGAGAGAGAGAGAGAGAGAGAGAGAGAGAGAGAGAGAGAGAGAGAGAGAGAGAGAGAGAGAGAGAGAGAGAGAGAGAGAGAGAGAGAGAGAGAGAGAGAGAGAAAGAAAGAGATGGAAGAGAATTTACCTGTATATCGGTGCATCCGCTTCCTCCTTGTACCAAATAACTAGGTGCAGCTTGTCCCCCGGGAGCGGCGGTTTCACGTCGCACGGTAGCTCAGCAATTTCTCCTACCACTGCTTCCGCATCTGTCATTGTCACTGTAATGACAAAGTCGGGTCGAGAGTCAGGCCAAGATCATATAACCGGAAAAACGTGGTCGGAATACACGCGACGCGATCCGACGTGAACGGCTAATCTGCTATAGGTATTAATAACTAGATGATTCGCGTCCGGTGATCTCGCTCCCGCGTATTCGGCGTTTCGGCTTGAGATTTAATCCGCGTCAACGATGCCGCCCGCGTATTCTCGAGTTCACGAGATCATTCGTGCGCGATTTCCTTCTAAGCCGCGGGATCTTCTCCTTCGAAAGGTATCCTCGATATTTTACCGGGGATTGTATCTCCCGTTCGCGAGTCACAGGGGAACGCCCCGAAAGAGAACATCTCTTTTCGCTTTAAATCGGCATATACCTGTAGAACGTATAAAGATATATCAGAGACATATTTCCTTGTTTCTCCGATAAATTATTCAATAATATAAAGCCTTTCAAATTTTTTTTTTTTTTGGTCCGACCACAAAAAATATACCTCTTTTGCAGTAAAATATAAACTATTTGTTGTATCGAGATTCGTTTCCGAACAGAGTTATTTAATCTGTATTGTAAAAATATATGACAGAAAAAAAGTTTTTTTCAATTAATTTTTCGAAAAACAATTTGTTTCAGGAAACGATAAATAATTACACTGTTATTGCGTGTAATTGCATGTTAGAATTTCTAAATAACTTTTGTGTACAATATTTTTTGATACGTATAATAAAAATATAATTTAGATTTTATGTATAAAAAAAAAAAAGATTTTTAATTTTTTTAATAAATCTTTCACTTTTTGAGATGACAAAGAAATTTTTACAATTTTTGCACTCTTTATAAATATATATATCAATTTGAATATATATATCATTGAAGCAAAATAATTTTCGTCTTGAGACTTTTTTCTTCTTATTACAAACAGTGGGTCAAGATGCAAGGAATTCAGAATTCGTAAACTACGAGAGAAAAATTTAGTAAAGAAAGAAAAGTCTGGGAATTGGACTGTGACTTAATCGCAATACGGAACTCGGTTCACATTTTGAAGATTACTCTGATTTCTGAAGTTTTAATCGTTAGAAAGTTTCGAAAAATTTTGATAACAAGAGAGAACTATACGTAGTAACCACGTTTCGTGATCATTTCGATAAAAAAATGTCGTACGGCTTTATACTCTTTTTTACTTAACTGTTATGGTTTTAAGTTAATCTTAAAAAAAAAAAAATGATAAGTGGAGAAATTTAATTGTTACTGTGTACGATTCCATTCAATAATAATATTTATGACCAATCGTCGAACAAAAGACTGCGTGACTTCTGTTCCACAGTAGCATAATCATGGTATAACAATTTTCACGGAAATGCAGACCGCGTTCGAGGATTGAGAAAGATGACGTAATTAAGATCATTAATCAAATGTAATTGTACCAATTAATCATGATATTTTAATAGCAAAGGTAGTTTGGAACATGATCTGAATGTATAATTTTAACCAATAATTAAATTCAAGAGAACAGAGATACCATCGTCGATACGGCACCAGATCCGCGTTTTGTGAAATGGCTCTGCAAAGTGGCATTTCGTTGTCAGCATTGTATATAATTCAATTGCTTTGTATAATATCTAAGTTCCTAAAAATCGACGAAACTTGAGAAGAGTAGCCTGTTTCGCGAGATATAAATACGGTAACCTAAGACAGGGGAATGTAATTTGAATAAATATTAAATCGCATTTCGATTGAATAATAAATAATCTTTCTCTAGATGCATGTATTTTCTACGATAATTTGATTTTTTAAACAAGTCAAACATTTAAAAACACATTCTCTACTGTTTTTTTTTTTTTTTTTTTCGAATTAATATCGCTGAAATTCTGCCGAAAATGTTTAATGATCCATACGTTGTGTCGAGTGGGCGGGCGCTCAGTAGCTCTCATATAATAGTGACCATGGCATCTGGTTATAATTAATGCACAATCAATTAATTTCGTCCCTTGTTTTACGCCGTCAACGACAAATTTACCGGATCATCGTTGCGCGGCCAACGAATTTATACGCGTTTTATCGCGCGCCTATAAAGCCGAGTGCACGCGAATCTATTTTGCGAGCTTCCGTAATTGGTGGCCGATATGACGCGGACGAAATCGCGGCGATAATTGGCGATCACGAGTCTCATCGGGCGCGAGGTATAATCGGTACAATCGCGCGTTCAAATATATCACGGTCAGCGGAGAGTTTCTTCCGAAAATGACATATGTATGTGCGTAAAGTTTACACATTAGCGATTCGTGTTTTCGCTACGCTATTCGTTAGCGCTAAATGTTTGCCCCTATTTGCTTTTCAGCTTTATTTATCGAACACGAAGAACCCATTAAACGTATACATATCGGAATAAATATAAAATAACCACGGATTGTGCGCGGATGCTAATATGCGGCGTAATCGGGTCGCCGTTTCGTCCTTTTTTAGACTTTGAATCGAATTATGCTTCGTGAAAAAGAAAGTATGTAAAAGATAGAGGGAAAAAAACTTGACAAACTCATCTGTTTATCATTAGATTGCGATATCAAAGTAAAACTAGTAAAAATATATACAAAGTGTACAAAGTAAAAATAAAAATATAAAAATATTAGGTCTACCGGAAAGTTCTGTCCGTTTTTGGAATAAAACAAAATACAAATTTTTATTACCGTCAATAAACTTTATTAAATAATGTAATTGCCATTATTCGGAGAAGTATTGTCAGCAACTGGATAATTTAAATACAGCAGTCCAAGAAAAGAGGCCGGCGATGTACAATAGGAAGAACATCATACTGCATCATGATAATGCCAGGCCACATGCTGCTTTGAGGACTCGTCAAAAAATTGCAGAACTAAGCTGGGAAATTCTGTCGCATCCACCATATTCCCCGGACTTAGCACCCTCCGACTATCACTTGTTTTTGTCCTTACAAAATTTTTTGAGGGGCAAAAAATTCAAAAATGAAGAAGATATCAAACAAACACTGGTTCAATTTTTCGCATCAAAAGATAAAACATTTTTCGAAAAAGGGATATACAAATTGCCCTCACGCTGGCAAGAAATCATTAATAATAATGGCAATTACATTATTTAATAAAGTTTATTGACGGTAATAAAAATTTGTATTTTGTTTTATTCCAAAAACGGACAGAACTTTCCGGTAGACCTGATACAATACGATATCTTGAAAAGTGGCAACAAGTAAAATTTTATCTTTACTCTCTGCGGGAAAACAAACGGGAGAGGACAAACTTAGAAGGGCGAGACAAGAGAGTCCATATATGTAAATCAGAACTAATAAATAATCTCAGCTCGTTCTCAAAAATATACGGTCAACGTGCCAAACAAAGTTTCTCTCTCGCTCCATCGGAGATGTATTCTATATCTTTATTTATTTATTTATTTTTTTAAACCCGTGATATACTCGGGGCGACGTTTCGAAGCAACGACATCGGCAGGCTATTTATTGCAAACGCTCGCCCAAGCTCGCCAGGGATCGCGATCTCCATTTTAAATGTAATCCCGCAAAAGTATACGGCCGCGGCCGCGCGGTATCGATAATGGTAACTGTAATCAAACCGGAGGACGAAATTGGGCTCATCAATTTTGAGGACGGCTGTATTTTGATAGAATCGATGCCGGCGCGGCTATCGCTCGGTGCGCTTGTGACGTTTTCGACGTCGGGGATTTTTAAAATTGAATTTTTATTCTTTTTTTCTCCCGTCTGTAGCTTCGATCGCGAGACGCGATCACATTTGAATACATAATTGGCAGCTTTTTCTTTTGTCTCGCTCACTCACGTTTGATTCTCTTCCCCGTTTTATGTCTTACCTTTACGTATTTCCTTCCGAATCATCGGCCAATAAATTGAGATTTAATTCCGATGTATAAAACGAGAGAAACGACACGCGGATATAAAACTGCGATGCGGAACATGAATGAAAATGTCGATATGGATACGTGCTCGTAGCATCTCGTCCGCACCTATTATTTATTTACTTTTCCCTTTATGAGCGACTATCGATTACTGGACATATAGAATATGTGCCAATCTCTGTACTTTTGAAATAAATAATATATAAACTATCGCTTTGAAATTTTTTCTCTTTATTTATCGAGAAATTTCTCGTGTTCTAATCAAGAATTACTGATCTACGGATTCTAAGAAAAAATGTAAAAAAATTTGAGTATAGTATAAAATATAAAATTATTTTCGATTATATAATTAATTCCGCCAAAATAAAATTATTCGGCGAAAGATATGATAAGGGGTGACAGAAGAAAGCGAAAATGCATCTAAAAATGATAATATACTCATAATTTTTGCAAATCTAAATGGCTTAGAAAAGAACGCAAATCCTAAAAAAATGTGCTTGGCGTATATAATTTTTTATTTAGAGATATCATACCTCGCGCGGATGTTACTCGCTGATAATAATTTTAACTTTTAGAATCTTTAAATTTGTAGAGTGACATGATAAAAATAAAGCCTTAAATATGATACACGGTAGTAATATATACCATATATTGGGAAAAAAAGAATCGCACAATTAGTATCCTTCTTCTATAGAAATGCAAAACGAGATTCCGCAGAATATCTGCCGAGAATTATTATTACAAAATGTTCTACCTCGTCGTGTATTTTCCGCGACACGCGGTCTCAAATTGGAGTACGATCCCTTTCTCCACACACACATACAGACATATATATATATATATACATTTGGCGAGTAGGGTTTCGCTCTTCGAATACGGCAACGCGACACGATGCGATGCGACGGGATGCCCATGGAACTTGCACGCAGCAGCTTTTACCGCGCTGCAAACAACCATTTTCATTTAGCTTTTCCGCAACGCTAAGTGAATTTTACCGGACGCGCCTTTCTTCCGTTCTCTTCGTACGTTCGAGCTCGCGAGTCTCATTATTAAGCCCGGTCGAGAATCTAATCTGCTTCCTACTCTTAGAATACGCCGGTCAATTCGGCATGC